TCACAGAGACATAACACAGATACACAGAAGTGAATGAGCACGTTCTTTTGAAAAACAGCATAGATAGACTTGATCAATGCAGAGCTTTCCCACAAATCTTCATTTTATGAAAAGCGAAATATTTGAAAAGTGCGATTAAAAGGCATAAATCTGTGTAAATGTGTGTGTGTGTATTGTACTTCGAGCAGCGGTCTCAATCTGTGGGTCATGACCCCTTTGGGGGTCGAACGATCCTTTCACACGGGTCCCCTAAATACATCCTGCATATCAGATATTTACATTAGAATTCAAAACAGTAGCAAAATTACAGTTATGAGGTAGCAACAAAAATAATTTTATGGTTGGGGGGTCACCACAACATGAGGAACTGTATTAAAGGGTCACAGCATTAGGAAGGTTGAGAACCACTGTCTTAGTGTATTCTAAAGATCACTCAGGTTTGAAAAAATAATAAATTAAAATAGAAAATAAGTAAGAATTTCCAGGATTTTTCAATCAGCATTGAAGGGGACAGTTTTGTCCATTAGAGGCTAATTTCATTTACACTGAACATATCCATACATGTAATTTCATTAAGCTGAAACCTAATAATTTACCCATATCGGATCCTGCCTCCCTGAAACAGTGAATCATTCTGTAGCAATACACAGGATTCTAAGGAATAAGAGAGCATTCGAGTCCCTATTCTTGTTCCAAGCAGGACAATTTTTTAAACTCCCCAGACCCATGACTCTTCTTTCAGGCCTTATAGTTCCATGATGATTCTGTCTCTCTCGTGCAGCTGGGAGAATAGCCGTGATCTGAAAAATGAGTCAACAGGACTCAGCCACAGTGACTTCATCTCCCCACACAGCTGTGGGTAATAAGATGCCTGCCCTGTTGTTTCTATCTTTTCTCCACCTCACCTCATCATTTTCACTTCCTCTTACTTTCCTCCAGATCTATCCTTTGGAAATCCTTCTGGTAAAGTCAGCCTGCCTCCTTCTTAATCTTATTCCCCTTTGCTGGCCTTCCAAGGCCTGTGTTTTTGAAATCGGTGGGTCCTGGGATTTGGCTCTGTGCAGAGATCATCTAAAAGGCCTCAGTCACTGGCTAAGGCATGGCTGACCCAACGACCTACTGGATCCAGATCTGTTTACTTTCAATGTGGTATTCTCTTCCTCTCTTGCTCTTTATTTTTCTGTGTATATAATTAATGGGAGGTAATCCAGTAAGAAAATTAATCAAATGTCCCTATTCTCTGGAGAGCTAACACCTATGCAAGCCCAGCTGTGCACCGCCCAGCCCTAGGACATCCATTCACACAGATGCCAATGGGAACAGTGTCCCCAGCCTTGTGGGATGTGGCAACCACGTGTGGAGGGGGTTCTAGCAGATTTTAATCATCTGCAAGCATGTTTACAAAATTTAGATCTTTTGCATTTTGACTTTTTTTCCTATTCATAGCTTTCAAAAAATTCAAATGGAAAACTACCTACTACCATTTGCTTTTCCAAAGTACTTAAAGTGATAGGTTCTTATTCCTCCCTGAAATGCTGTAACAGTAGGATGTACAGACTAAAACAGCCTTGAAGATCAACTGACATGTTCTCCTTATGTTATAGAGGCACCATTGCAAATCACAATGAATATCGTTTTTTTTTAAGTTACAAAATCACAATGCTGTATTTATCTGGCAGGGGAGATACCATGATCAGGTGATTTTCCTAAGGTGAAGCTTATGCATTACATTCCAGCTATGCTGACTCTTGCAATCTTGCCAAATGTGGAAAACTCAGTTCCATAATTTGTGGTCAAGGGGGAATGCACTCATACCCCCCCTTTTCTTTTTTTAAAAATGATACCTGGTACCAATGTGTTCATTCTCATTGTGGTATTGTCACTATATTAAATGTGGGTTTATAGACCATTCTGAAGCCTTGATATAAAAGCTATAATGCAGAGTAAAACCATTTCTCCCTGAAATAAGAAATAACATAAATGTGATCGAGTTCCCATAACTGTAATGGCAGTTTAATACAGAAGGTGTGTCCTTAGGTATTCTACCATGGACTGACACTGAACCTAGATTCTCTACAATTTCTTTTAAGTGTTAAAAAGCTGACCCTAATTTTGACTAGCTACTTCATTAATATTCATTTGTATATAATTGCCTTAATTTCAGTGATAATGACTTCAGCTACCAACTGTTTGATTGATGGGTCCTGCATCTTCTCTGGGAAGAAGCTAAGATATAAAAATCACACCATTCATGCATGCCTGGTATTTTTAGCTGCCTTTAATTACTAACCAGCTAAATAAGCATGCAAACCACGCTGTGATTGATAGGATCTCTTGGTTGAAGTGATTTTTTTTTTCCCTCAGAATTTGGAAGATGCTCGAATCAATTGAGTACTAAAAATAACCCCTGAGAGCTGAATCTTCCAGAATCAGGATGCTCTTGAATAAAAGCATCTACCAGGAAGGAGGGGTTAACCTGCCATCTTTAAGACATTCTGAGTGGAGAAAGAACAGAAAGTTCTCACTGAGTGCAGTGATGTGAAAAAAATAAACCTGTGACATACAAATATTTATCTGCTGAAGACCTGCTGAGTAGCATCATTCCAGAAACAAAAAGAAACATCTCTTCAAGTCAACAGAAGTGGGGGGAAAAATAAAGGAAAAAAATGAAACAGGAAGCACAAACTGTGCAGTGGAACCTCTGACCTAGGGCTGAGAGGAGCACACGTTAGCTCGGAACCATCATCTGCCCTGGATGGATGTCTGCATTTCCCATGTCAGAATCCAATGCTGGTAAGGAAAATTTGGAGGGAGGAGACTAACACAGAGCTCTTTGGAAGTACTGCCTTGTGTATACAAAACTATTTTCAAACTGAGCACACTGTAATAATAATAAAATAAAATGCAACAACAGCCAAAATGAAAAAAAAAAACAATAAAAATATTGCATGATAAATCTGGAGCAGGCTGCTCTAACCAAGAATCCTCTTAGTTAGCAAGTGTGTCTGTGCACTCCTTTGTGAATAATAAGCAGCATTATCCTGAAGAAACATGATGATTGAAATTATACCACCCTCTGAAAATGTTTTTATTGCATTGAATTTCTAGCCCCAGATAGCCCGAGAAGTTGGCTCTTGGAGCCTGCTGTATTCCTTTATGTTCTCTGTCTACTGTCTGACTTTTGTTTGTCACTGGGAGAGCTCTTGCTGTCTCTCCTTTTTATTGGCTGAAATCCTAGACTCCATGGTCATATACAAGTGTAAAATCTGCAAAATAACCCCTACCCCATAACATTCTTTCCTCCAGCCATTCAAGACTTCTGTTTACCCGGGGCTTTTGCAAGAGTTAGGAGGAAAGCAAGCCAATGATTTAAATTCAAACTCTGGCTATTCTTTCTCCTTCAACAATATCTGGACTTTTAAACAAAATACAATATCTACAAATCTGCAATGGGTGAGTTTGAGAGATAGGAAAGGCAAGAGAAATATAAAAGTTTGAGATAATTTTTTTTTTCTAAGTACATCCCTTAAGTGACCCAGTTAGGAAATGTAAGAAATAGGAAAAGGAGGGAGAAGGTAGCTCTACTTGAGTACAAGGCTGTGGGCATTTGTTAGCTTTTGCAGGAAACTCCTTAAAGTGTGGTAGGCAAACACAATAACTAGGTAGTTAAGGCACCACGGGTTTCCCATTCTGACTGTCCACTCGTCCCCACTTCTATAGATGTGCCGGTTACATGGCTCTTTCTCTTTCTGGCCTCACAAAAACTATGAGATGTAGATTTAGGGGGGTTATGGGGAAGAAAGTAGGTAACAAAATAAAAGGAAAACAACAATAGTAAAGTAAATAGTAAACAGTAAAAATGCCTCTACGGATGGTCATTGGTTTCAAGGAGGCTGACCCAGGAGAAGGGGCGGAGGCAGCACTGCTCCCTTTGCACACAGGATAAAGGATTCTCCCAGAGACGTCTTGGCAGTGGCTTTATTTGTTAAGACCCCTTCACTGACTCCCTGCTCCTTAAACTTATGTATTTTCCTTCTGCGCACTAAAAATAACTCCACTTTCTCCTTTTTTTCCTGTATTATATACTGGAAAACAAACAAAAAATGAAAACAAAACAACTAAACGGTGAGATTTTGCATTTTATTGTCTGAAGGCCATGTGGGAACGGAGGGAAGCTGTGTTATGTTAACATAGGGAAGAATGGGAGTTGCCAATGCTCTCGGTTTCTTTTATTTATATTCTTCCTTCTGTTCCAAATAGCCTTACTGGGCTGTGAGCACCTGATGACACACTCTCACACTGTGCCAAGGTGTGATCTTGCTGGAACCGGAGCTGGATTATGGCGATATTTTCAAGTGACAAATAAAATGAGAAATTAAATCCCACAGCCAGGGTCTGTTGTTGACATTAGCTCAGAGCAGGTTAGGTCCAGAATCTTCTAGGCCTGCTGTGCTAAAGGGGACAGAGGGTGCCCACTCATCTCGGGATGGGCTTCCTGCCTTGAGTCCCTTGTTTACACATGATAGTCACTAGCATCTGCCTCTTCCATAGGTCGCCAGTAAGTCCTGACTCATGACTGGTGAGACTCTCAGAACCAGAGAAGGCAGAAAATCTAACACTGCACTGCTCTCAGGGTGATTACTCCATGGAAAATAAGAGCAGTCGATGTGAGAGGTTAGGAGAAGAAAGTGAGAGATGTAGCAGGTGCACAAGAAATATCTGTAGGATAAATTAATGAATGGATTTTGGCTGCAAGTCTTTGTAGACGTGTCAGAAAGGGGTTTGTTAACAGAGAAAAGTGAGGAGACTACAGGAGAGAAAATGATAAAATGCTAACTACTTGCATGCATCACTCCATGTAATCTCCCAAAC